GAACTTACACAGGGATGTTTTCAAACTGAAACACCTTTGAAAAGGAAGCAATCCACTGTTGGAGTATTTGAGTACTTTCTATAGTATGATATGTCCATTATAGGAACGTGGAGAGAAGATGGACCAATGTCTTCCCTTCTGCTCCTAAATACTAGCCATGGTCATAACTCCAATCAGAAGTGGTAATACGCCAACACGACTCCACTTAACCATAATGGCACCATTCCAATGTCCTACACAAACAGAAACAAACACACACCACCCATAGAGACAGTCATTCCACTTTTGCACCTCGAGTGGACCAGCAAAGAGAGTGGACATGTGCAGGGTGATACATCTCTGGGATGACACCTCTCTGTGGCGATGAGCTGTGCAGTCACAGGCGTTTAGCTGTGATGGCGACACTGACAGAAGACAAAGCCACGGGTTTACAGGGAGCCGCCGGCAGTATCTTAGAGTGACACGTGGGTTATCGTTGACACGCCAACACTGTGTCCCCGCCGCGTATTTCCCATGAACTGCTGAGCTGAACTGCTCCCTAAAGATAGCAAGACAGCAGATGAGCCAAGGTGAGACATGTATCTGTGGAAGGGGCCAGCTGTGGGAAAAGTCTGGGACAAAGTTGGAAGGGGCACTGCAGCGAAAAAACAAGTCTGACAAACAGCATTGTCAGATCTCAAACTCTGTATACCTAATTTGTGTAGACTCTGTCATCATTCAGCTGTGATTTTTCTGTCAGCTTTGTCATTTTCTTGCTCACAGCCAGAGCAGAGATCAAGGGCCAAAAAAACGAAGAAGAGGCAGAAATAAACAGAGAGAGGATAGAGACACAGGGTCATTCCTGGGTGCCATTTACCCCGGAGTGAACCGTGGATTAGGGGGCCAAGGCCTGGCTGACCGATCCAAATGGCTACACACACTGAACAGATTAAGTTAAAAATGAATGGACTAACCAAGCTGATAGAGTCTGGTTTATAAGGGGGATATTCTCCTTTCAAAAACATTCACAGCAGCAGTGACAGCAGCAAAGGATTCTGAAGGCAAATACAGGACGAGGGGGAATTTACTGCGTCAATATGGAACACACTGATAGCATGGGAATACCCTTAGCGATGCTCCTGATTTAGCATTATCACCATCAGGAAAAAGTATTATTGCCAAGCTTCACAATATTGTAATAATGATAGAATCAACACTGTAATCATTATCATAGATTTAATGACCACCAATACAGCATCGATAGCACCATCATCTAGGCCTACATTTTTTAGCCGTCATACTCGCTCATATATCCTCCTTTATGAATTATGTTTGAAAAAGTATTCAGCCAGCCAGCCTGCTGCACATGCTACAGTACACTGAGCCTCTCATGGGCTGAGGTCAGGGAAAATGCTTCATAGTAATAGAGATCCTTTACAACCACCGGGGGAAATCACTGCCTGTTTGTTGGCAGCCAATGTAATTAACCATGTTAGCTTTCATGCACTCTCAAAATCTGGAGAATAAACCCCTTGTAAGTCCTAACCTTTATGTCACATTTAGAGGACCGGGGCTATTTGACTGCGAGATTCTGCAAGACAAAGATTTTTTTTTGATGATTTATAGCTGACATTGCAAGCGGAAAATAACGTGATATTCTAGATTGAGACCAGAACTTTTCATTTGTTGAGAAGCAGGCGGGAGTTCAGAGTTTGCTCTTGATCTGGGGTAATTCAGCAGGATGGATGTTCGCTGTCAAGGGGTCTTGAACCCAGATTAAAGATAGAGCCCCCATCCTCGTCACTTACACCTTCTGCGTGGCTGCACCTCTCCGCCACATGCGATGCTGAATCTGGACATTTTGGCTGCATGAGTGACAGCCTGTCGGGGGCTCGCGGTGTTCGGCATGAGTCTTTCTAATTAGAAGGGCCCAGGGCAAGGTTGCCGTTACAGTAATAACCATTTTTTCCTTTTTCGGATACATCATAATGATGCTGATGATCCCATAAGGCAGAGTTGTAATCACTCACCTGCTGACTCAGCACCAATTATAAAGGGGGCTGTTTTAGCTCTATCCTTTTTCAACATGGGCTACCAAAGCCCAGAGAATCCCATCCATCCTTGCTCAAACCAGGTAATTGCTTTAGAAAAGTGTTTGCCCCGTTCAGAAGCCAATTCAACAGTCCCTTAGTCACTAGGCTTCTACAACAACTTGTTTTGTGTTCATGCAGTGTCTTTAAATGAGACTCTGTTATGATAGATGTAAAAATCAATCACTGGATACAATTATGTGATCATAAAATAGTTCTCTCCTGATAGACAATATTTCCCATGAGGCAAAGGGTCTTAATATATCAGCCTGACAGAAATGTATCTCTTGGTTGCACTTAATGGAATACAGCTGACCTCATAACCACAGTAAATATCTCTTCTGGAATATCCTCAGACCCTCTTTAGCTTTACTTCAGAATTCCCTCGTGTGTTATCAGTAAAACCCACATCCCTCTTGTATTGTTTAATTTACATTTAATTATTCATTACACCCTTAACTGCAGTGTAGGGATGAAACTTCATTTCCTTCTCCTACCGTGACTGATTAAACCCGGTCGGGAAGATGCGGTCTCATAAAGGGCAGATAAGTGATGTTCCAGATAAATGGAAAGTAAATACAAATTCATCTATTTATAACTATTGGTTCCCATAAAAGCACTGAGCCACCGTGCCAATGGCATCTGGTAAGAGATGTTCAAGAATCACATGGAAAGTGTTTTTGTCACTTCTCAGAAATGTGTTGTTCTTATCTCAGGACCAGACCTTTTCATGAGGCTTGTTTACAGAACTTCACGTAGCAAGTCCTGCACTGTGGCCTGTTATTGATGGGGTTTCAGCGTAATCATGAATATTTAATGTTATGTATATTTAATGTAAGTCATATATAGATTCACATAGGAGACCTATGTTCGTACCTCTTGTACCAGGAGTGAACTTACTGTACTTACTTGTTATGTAATTCAGTCTTGAAGTAATGCCACTTCTGCAGCTATTTCTTACCAAATGTGTGGTCACGTGGGCATTCCTTTAGGTTTTACTTGATAAGTTAGTGAATACATTTACCTGCTGGTGGATCTAGATAGAGCATCTCCCAATACTTCCACCCATCAGGAATTCCTGCTTTTCTACTACTGTATGCTGTGCAGGAGCTAATCCATAAGGATGATGTTGTTCTCTCTGTTGAAATAGTGTTTGTCACCACCAGCTGTCCTTTCAGTGAGCGTATTATGAGCTAAAATACAATTAATTATAGTTGTCACTCCCTTTAATGTGAATATGACTCAAGGGCAGGCCTACCCTTTACTGTTCCACAGCTTTGAATCAGTGAGTCATGCTTGTTGTGCGACAGCGACAGAGAGGGGGAAATGAAAGAGAAAAAAGATTTGTGTTGTGGATTGATTTGATGGATTACAATATCATTAACTGTGTTGACAAATTGGATGTGGGCAACAAAATGTAGATTAGTACTAATAAATGCTGTAAATCTGAGACTATAGGCCACACGCCGCAGGGGAAAACTAAAACATCCAAAGCAAGCTGTCTGTGCGCGACAAAGAGAAAGGTGTTGAACAAAGGCTAACTTCACATGGAATCTAGTCAGTGTTCAAATAAAAGGTTGTAAATGCAGCATATGTCAGCTTCTCTCTAAACTCTGTTTGTCTGTGTATATTTAGTGGGTTTCTGAATGGACCATATGGACTGAGAGCTAATATAAGACCAGGACAGATGTTTCTCCCCGGGTGTGCATGGCTTTGAGTGGGACAAGAGATGGGGGGAAATAATTTACATCTGAGAGGACAGAGCAATGAAGAATAATAAAAGAGTAAGGGAAGCATTAAAACATTACCTGTTCTTCATGGTTAGAGTACTTTCTGTATTCAAATTATAAGTAACTTGTTGTGGTACTATGAATAACAATGATGATGAAAAAAATGTTTTGAAAATGCCAAAAAATGTAAAATAAATTGCATAAAGTGTGTGCTGTACTGACACCACGAATGGGATGTTAAGTCAAATCCCTCGACAGCACCATGGCCAGCTCCTGACTCACTTTGAGACAGAAGAGCATAAACTGAGTGGAAAGAGGAAAGGAGGAGAACTCCATGGAACCTCACGAGGCGACACACCTCTGCCCTGACGTCACCCTTCGCAACAAGTGACTCTGAGATAAGTCATCGCTGCTCCAGAAGTAAACACTCATTAGTGTCTAAAGTACTACTTAGATACTCGTCGAGGTGTTTTGTAGCCTTTTTGTTAACTTACGCTGCTTCTTTGCGTCATATAAGTACGTAAAACGTTAGCTTGAGCAGGTAAATTAAGCTAGCTAGCACTCACTAAGCTAATGCTAAAGTAGCGTCATTAGTGCTAATATAGTAACGCCTTTTAAATTTCACTCGCTGTGACATGACAGTGTCAGTCCTGTAGTACAATGTACAAATACTCGGTTACAAGTAAAAGTCCTGCATTCAAAAATGTACTTCAAAATATGCTTTTAGTGTTAAGTACCAAAAGTAAAAGTACCCATTGCAACGCCACATTATTAAGCTATTATAATAATTATTGATGCATTAATGTGTGCTTCCCTTCAATGTTGCCCTTGGTAAATGTGGCGTTTATTTGAATTAATTACCTTTGTTACTTTATGTAGCCTACATTAAGCTGGCAATAATCTATATTCCTACTTAATTAGTAACATTTTAATTAAGGACTTTCACTTGTAATGTTCAGTAGGCCTATGTTAAACCACAGGCAATGCTGAATTATGTCCGCAACAGTAAAATAATTCAACTTAAAATATAATGAATTAAACGAAAATGGGTAGCCTAATAATAAAGTGTTTATCTGCTAATAAGGCTGCGTAAAATAGCGAGTTGTGCGCTCCAAGGCTGTAACGTGTTACTGTAATTCGTTACTGTGCGTTACCAGCTAGCCCTGCCTCTACTATCTCTCCGTCTGCTGCTTTGTCTACGCATCCATGTGGGTTTCTCCCCTTCACAGTGTCGGTGTTGCTCTCCGGTGTGTCAGCCTCAGCCATTGGCTTCAGAGACCTCCCTCCGTAACAACACAGACGCACAGCGCGCACAGTGCTTTCGAGGAGCGACGGTGAGATGTTGGAGAAACTGCGGTCTACCGACTCCTTTCTTTCCATCGGCGAGGAGCGCAGGGAAGCCTCTGCGATGCGCTCAAGCGGGCACGCGTCGGAGTTGAAATAAGGGAAACACGGGGGGTCTTAAACAAAAAGAGAGAGGGGGCGATATTCTTGCGAGGATGACTGACTGGTGACAAAGAAAACGGGGAGCCCTTCTGGCTTGGGTTGTCTTCCGCTAGAACTTGACGGAAGGCGTTTTGGGGGACCGGCTTGGAAGATTTGTTTATCATCATATTTATTGGAGGGGGAACCATGCCTGTCAGGAGGGGTCATGTTGCGCCGCAAAATACGTTTTTGGGAGTAATAATTCGCAAATTCGAAGGACAAAGTGAGTACCTCATGGTTTCCAGTGTGCTGCGATGCCTGCCTTTTGTGTCTGCATCCTCATAATAATAATAATTGGGTTGTTAGGGAATCGCCTAATAGGCCTGCCTTTATAACAATAAGCTTAAGATGCAGATAGAACACAATGAACCTATTCTATGTTTTAATGATTTTATGTCAGAGATGCATGAAAAGTCATTTAAAGTGAATTATCCAGCTCTGTGTCTTAGCACCTCACCTGCTCCAGTGGAAAGTGTAGTTGAAAAAGCTGCATATGAGAAATAAGGATCAAGCATTTAATCCCCCAAAACCTGAATTGCCCATAATAATAATAATAATTTGTTACCGTTATTGAGGAATATTCAATATAATGAAGGGATAATCCAGCTTCCAACAGCCACCATGTTTATTTAACGGTGAATCACTGCACTCAATTAGTCTTGTTTCTGTTATTCTGCCCATGAACAAATTATCATTCCCCCTCTCTCCATCTCTCCTTTTTCAGATAAGAAATTCATCATAGCCAATGCCCGGGTGCAGAACTGTGCTATCATCTACTGTAATGACGGCTTCTGCGAGATGACAGGCTTCTCCAGGGCGGACGTCATGCAGAAGCCGTGCACCTGTGACTTCCTGCATGGAGAGTTCACCACCCGGCACTCGCAGGCTCAGGTAGCCCAGGCTCTCATGGGATCAGAGGAGCGCAAGGTAGAGATCACCTACCACCGCAAGGATGGTGAGTACCGCTGACTCTGGGGGTCAGGTGACATGTACAGCATGACATAAGGCTGCAGTGAACTCATAGGTGAAAGAGATACTCACATCTTTTAGTAAAGGAAAAATAAGCAATACTACAGTGGGAATATTACTCTTCTTACTGAACTTACTTTAGGATAAGTATTAGTATCAAAATATATTTGAGTACCCAAAAGTAAAAGTACTCACTATGCAGAATTGCTGTCATGAGGATATCATATAATTGGATTATAATTATTAATGTCAACATCATTTTCATTATGAAAAAGGATGAGTTCATGACTTTTTTTACAGATATCTTAATTCCCCAAAATATGTCATCCTTTTTTACTTGAGTAATGCATGCTGGCTGAACCTAGCTCTGTCAGTCGCTTAAAAAAATCACGTTTTGGTTTATTTCCACACGTTTTGTTGAGTTACTCCACCTGCAGTGTTAATGCCAGATACGCAGTTGAATGTGTGACTGTCTCTGGATACACTGCTGGTCATTTCTATCTCTGAGTCTGCTCCATGTAGAACATTTTGCAGCGGGCAAATCACTGAGTGCACCCATTTGCATGTAAACCCTGAGGGGGGGAGAGAGCAGCTGTGAAGGTTTCCTTCACTTTCTGAGTGGTTAAACATTGCTAATGGTGTTCCTCAAGGTTCTGTTTTAGGTCCACTTTTATTCTCCATCTACATCAACAGTTTAGGTGAAAATGTGGACGAAGCTACTTTAAATTTTTATGCTGATGATACCGTGATGTATTGTGCAGGTCCCTCCATTAAGGAGGCTGGTGTTAAATTACAGGCTGTTTTTAACATTATTCAGACTCAGCTCGCTGAACTAAAGCTTCTTTTAAATGTTGATAAAACCAAAGATAATGCTCTTTTCAAAAGCTAAAAAGACACCAGAGCCTGTTGTAGATATTGTAACTACGCAAGGAATAAAACTTGAAGTGGTTACCTGTTACAAATACCTAGGTATCTGGCTTGATGATTGTCTTACTTTTAAACTTCATGTCAATAACCTGCTTAAAAAGCTGAGGGTTAGGCTAGGTTTCTTTTTCAGAAACAAGTCCTGTTTCTCATTTGAGGCCAGGAAAAGGCTCTGTGACCTTTTTACCTGTGCTGGACTATGGTGATCTGTTGTATATGAATGCACCTGCCTATTGCCTGAACAAGTTAGATGCCGCCTATCACAGCGCACTGAGATTTGTCACTAATTGTAAAGCACTTACTCATCACTGTACCCTGTATGCCAAGGCAGGTTTGCCATCACTTACTGTAAAGAGGCTCAGTCATTGGTACACGATTATTTATAAAGCTTTGTTGGGTAAACTCCCGTATTACATCTGCTCTCTGATAACACAGAGAGTTGCAAGCAGCTATTGTCTGAGATCGCATGATGTAGTATTGTTAGATGTGCCAAGAGCAAGGACTGTCTTAGGTAAGACAGCTTTTATGTGCGCAGCTCCACTTGCTTGGAACAATCTTCAGCAAGAATTGAAACTGAGCAATCTCATTCCTCTGCATGTTTTTAAAGCTAGGCTAAATGAAATGCTCGTTGATACTATGGGCACTTGTAAATGTCTATAACTATGTAAATGTATCCTGTAAATATAATGTATGATGTCCTTTATTGTTTCATGTGGAACCTATATGCTGCAGGTCTCCCTTGAAAAAGAGATCTATGATCTCAATGGGACCAATCTGATTAAATAAAGGTTTGAAATGAAATGAAATTTGCTGTAAAGTCCAGTTTTGAAGTGATGCAAAGCAGCGCAGGGTGGCTGGGAGATGTTCATTAGCCTGTGCCGGAGAGGGTACCATGGGAAAGATGTAGCTCACTTCCCCAGAGAGTAATGTGAGGAGAGTAAGCCGTGTGCTTTCTGTTCTCAATACATCTAAGAAGAATAGCATGGTGGATGTACAGTAGTGAACACAGATGTTATTGCTGCATTCTTTAAGCTACATCCTCGGCATTTTAGCATTAAAATGTCAACATCCTGTCAGAACTCACAGGCATGACCCTCTTCTCTGACTGAATAGCCATAGTTTAAATAAAGTACTTGCGTGCATATGCTGCTTATGAATTCTGCATACAGATCATGACTTGGTATGACAGCTGGTTTCATCTCAATGAGTTATAGGCAAGCTCCAGAGTTACATTTTCAACTGTGGTAGTTCAGAAAGAGTTCAAGTATTGACCTCCCACAATGACATGTGTGTTCAGATGATTAAGCCTCCTTGCATAACGCTTAAAGGGGAAGTTTTACTACGGCATAGGATTGATTGTTCGTTGTATGCAGGTTTAGGCTTTATTAGTTTATCCTCATCGATTGTTTGGTTGTTTTAATCCGATATCAACTAATCTATCGCACTCATTTTAGTTAGGTAAATGTCTTTACTGAGGCATCCATGAGTGAAGTAGCTGAGCGTTATAGGAGAAGTCTCTTGATCTGTAGAAAGGGTTGAACTGTATCTGCCTACCTACGGCTGGATGTTCTCATGAACATGAAACAAGATACAATGGGAGGGATCTTTCTGACATTTGATGTGAGATAGGAGCTCTGTATCAGTGATGGATGATGCAGTGCTCTTTGAAGATTGACCTGTGTGTGTGCATTCATATCAGGCAGGTATAGGAAAACCCAGAGAGAGAGGTGATGTAGAATAGGGCGGTTTACGGAGTAGTGACACATGTTAGTATCCTGGGATACACGTGTGTGTGGTCTCAAAGGTAGAAAGAGTGAGATGAATTTAGTGGATAATGCTTAGAGGCGGAGTGGAGGACTTATTCTTTGAGTGGTTGGAGTCAATATGCAACCAGAGCCTTGGTGAGGCATGTCTTATTTTATGTTTTCCGAAGTATGACACCCAGGGAAAGAACATGTTCCTAAGTTTTATGCTATGTACTGTTTTAGTTTTAAACTTTGAAAAGGAATGCTGTTTGCAGATTTGTTCTGGCAATACTTTTCTGACGATAGTAGAACATTCTTAATATGTTTTCTGTCCTTTACTATATTTACAACTTCCCTTTGTTATAAAAGAGATGATTACTACACATTTCTCGAAACACGTTTTTAAAAATAACCTCACAGAATCCATTAGTTAGCACTCTCATTAGTGAGCTGTATTGCATTACCACAAGAACATTTGACGTATAAAGCTTCTGGGAATATTTGTTGAACTAATTAAACCAAACAAAGATCTTTGAAGACCAAACATCCGCCTTAGGGGAACCAAGCTTCAGCATAAGTAGTGTACTTTCACTTTTGATACTTGGACACTGACTCATAATGTAGCACCCTTATACTTTATACTAGGATTCAAGTATGTTGAATATGACCATTACAGGTCTGATGCTCCTCTAGGCAGACTTACTGTCAGCCAGGCCAAGCTGCATCGATCTGCTGAGCAAACAGCATTAATGAGGACACAAATACCTTCATGTTGCATTGATCTTCAATACCGGTGCATTGGAGAGGAGAAATCAATGAGGGCCGAACGCCCTGCCTCCACCGGCTGACCCACAGGAGACTTGGATAAAAAGAGCTGGGGGACTTCTGACAGTCGGACCCAGCATCGGGGGGAGAAGGCCTCATTACCATTCTGTACACTGAGCCACTAATTACCTCCGTGTTTCCTCTCACCTGACCTCAGAGCTTCTCTAGGGAAGGTCATACATCCAGGTTCGCTCCTCCTATATTCTCCTTAGTTTTCAATAACAACTAATCGCCCTGATTATCAGGATTCCTTAGTAGGAATGAATTGACCTGATGTGGGACGAAAAACGGAAAAACAAGACCATGACCTCAAGTTTGAGGAACAAGCAAGGACATGTTTATTTGGTTCTACTTGGGGCTTTTTTGTAGTTGCGAAACTACAGAAGAAAATGTCAGGTAAAGATATTAAAAAGTGTGCTGGCTTCTGGGAGCCATCTGATTGGAATGGACCACATTAAGACGTAAGATTTCAGATTGCAGCCATTTAAGAAATACTTTGATCTTAGATGTAACTACCTCCCTCCCTCCCACTCCATCCACTGCACACACACAGCTCTCATTTCCTATCTCGATTGTCTCCTGTATTGGAATTCCAGGGGAAATGTCATTGCGGCAAGCTGATTGCTCTCCTTGTGGTGGACCGTTGGGGTTTCTGCGAGCCAATCTTCTTCTTTTTAATCCCGTGACCCGGGGTCTGCATTATAAACGCATCGCCCGCTGTCCTTTACAGTCCGTGAAGGAGATTCTCCTCGTCAGCACAATCTCTGGCACATTGTTAATGCTTTGTGATTTGTGCCTTCGCAGGTCCACTGGTCCTTTTGCCTCTGATTGCTCATATCTCCATGACCTCGAAAGAGAAAGTAGGGTCTAAAAGTAGTGTATTCCAAACCCCTGTGCTTGACATTTAGGTACTGAGAACATGCTACATTTGTAACAATTGTATTTTTGTTGACCTTGGTAGACTGTACGTTCTGAGCACTGCCTCTTCTCGACTCTATCAGCACCTGAAAAGACAAAGTATGACTCACTGGTGCTATTTCGATTTGCACTTTGCTGTCATCATCCCATCATTTATGCATGTAAGTCATTCCATTTGTATCCAATGGAGAAAAACAAACCCGTGTTTCTGTGAGGATGCTGCAGTGTATGCGCAGTATGTTTTATGGGCTTACTATGTTTACAGATGATCACAGATACACAATTATAATCACAAACAAAGCAAAAACTCTGTCAACAACAAGGATTTCTGTCACTGAGAACAAAACAGTGCTAACCACAGGGTGCCTTGCTGCTGATGGGTTTAAGATGATTCCTATGAAACTGTCAATTTGAATCAATTATAAATAACTAGTTAAATACATAATACGTTTTTTATGGATTTGTCCCCTGTCACTTTCTTTTCAAACAGAATAACACAGCTGTGAAACAAAGTGAAAAGAAAGACTAAGCAGGTTAGAACCAGAGATGTCATTACAAAATCCTGAGGGGCTGT